ATTCAGTCAAACTATCTCATGTAATTTAAAACGGAGGGAATATTAGATTCTAATTATGAATGAGATTGTTGTAATTAATAAGATTCATTAGAATCCTACAATTAAGGCTCAGACTACTACTAAGCATTGATTTTGGGTAGCATCAGCATGTATACTTTCTTGTTTGGTTTAGACTTCTACTTTTTTTACCATTTTTGCCATTGACTTATGTAGTAGTTCCTTTACCTATTGTTCGATCAATTTGTTAAAGTTGATGCAATTTTTTTTTAGATGGTTTGAGTCTTTGAGATACTTGCATCTTCTACCTATTGTTAGTTTGAAATTGAAGATGTTCACATTTTTATACTTTTAGATTGAAAATAATTTACTCTTTTAAAGTACAAGGTCAAATATATCATGATCTTTCGTTATTTGTTTCACATATATCATGATAATTGTTACGCGGCGCCTTCCTGAAATTTCTTAGAAGGACGACGTAAGGCTAAGCAATCGATATCAGTGCGATTGTTGTCCGCCACCTGAGGTCCCCTCCGTGCACTAGACTAGATTGTCAGTGCCATACGGAAAAACTAATGTCGTGATCAATTGAAAGAGAGAGCAGAAAAGAGAATTGAGAATGAAAGAAAGCTTGATTGCATTGAATGAAAGCTATTACAGAAAAGCAACACGGTATCGGAGGGAGAGACACCAGTACAGAGACGTGTTTGCTTGCTTGAAAGTTTGATTACTTGGTCCCCATTAATAATGCTTAAAAAAAAATAAACCAAAGTTACATGACTAGACCTATGAAAGTTGAAAAATCACACTTAAAGAAAATGCAGTAAAACTACTCTATATTTACAATGAAAAGGACTTAGTCTTCTATAAAGCAGAAACAAGTCCGTTGACAGCAACTTTGTCTTTAGCATCAGGGTCTGCGCACACGGCGCTGTTGGCATCTGCCTATAGATGGGCGCTGGTGATGGCTATCGGTGGGGCGACAGAGGTACATGCGCGCTTGTCACTTGGAGCTGCCGAGACCACGGGGCCAACCGTGGCGATGGGCGTTGGGAAGCTTGCCAGGACGCCACGGGGCACGTCCAATGGGTCATGGGGCATGGCTGGAAAGCCGCCCATGACATTCTCCCCCACCTGAGTTGGCGACGTCCTCGGCGCCTTCCTTGCAAGGTAATCATCAATCAGGCTCTTGTAGGCTTTGAGGTTTGTTCCCCTCTCCCAAGTATTCTCCTCTGCATTACATCCCTGTCATTTCACCAAGAACTCTTGGTGATCTTTTCTTGAGGCGTGAATCACTCGATCATCAAGAATAGCTTCAGCACGCCTTTTCCCGGTTAAATTGGGACCTCGAATACTTGGTATTGTGAGTTGGCTTCGTGAAGGATCCTCCATATCTTCCCGAAAATAATTCAGTAGACTGACATGGAAAATAGGATGGATTTTTCACCAAGCTGGGGTATCCACCCGGTATGCAACTTTCCCAATGCGTCTTTCAATGGACAAGGGTCCAATATATTTTTGCAATAGGCGAGGGTCATGGACTTCTGCAAACAAGTACCACTTTGGGATTTTGACCATCACTTTGTCTCCCACTTGGTATTCAACAAAGCGGCGATTATGATCAGCAAGCCTCTTTATCCGTTTTTGGGCTTTGACAAGATAGCTCCGCACTATCTCCAAATTTTGCTTCCACTCTTTTGAGAAGCTAGCAGCCCGAGGAGATTTTGAGATGTTTAGTGCGTTCACTGTGTGTGGGAGTAGCGGTTGCTATCCGATAACAATTTCAAAAGTACTTTTGTTGGTACTTGTGCTCTTTTGTGAATTGAAATACAGTTGAGCAGCATCCAGAAGCTTCACCCAGTTCTTCTGCGATCCGGTCACAAAGTGCCGGAGATATTCCTCTAGCATGCCACTGAATCGCTCCGACTGGCCATCAGATTGCGGATGAAAACTTGAGCTATGACTCAATTTTGACCCGAGACACTTAAAGAGTTGGGTCCAAAAATTGCTAGTGAAGCGTGAGTCGCGATCACTAACAATGTCTTTAGGTA